TGCCTGATCTTTTTGAGACAGGGTCTCGCTATGCAGTTCAGGCTGGCCTTGAGCTCACTTTGTAGCCCAGGCTGGTCTCGAACTCGCAACGATTCTCCTGTGTCAGCCTCCTGAATGCTGGGGTTATAGGCATGCGCCACCACACCCGGCCACTACTGCAAGTTTGAGAGGAGAAAAGAAAAAAAAGAGAAACTCAGACCCACTAGCAGTCGCTTCGTAACCCTGTCCACTCCGCCTAGCCCCAGCACCCACTCCTTCATCTTTTCTGAATGGATTTGCTGTTGTGAACATTTCATAAAGAAGTCCTTTTGCCACCATACCTGGCTAGCCTTTTTTACTTTTTTTCAAGGCTCGTCTACTTGCACAGCATGTATCAGTACTTCATTTTTTTAAATTAATATTCCATGTGTGGGTATACCACATTTTGTTTGTCCTCTAGTTAATGGACATTTGGATTATTCCCAGTTCTTAGCTATTATGAAAAACACTTATGAACAGGTAGGGCCTTGCTGTGTAGTCCAGACTGACTTTAAACTTACAGTAATCCTCCTGTCTCAGCCTCCTGAGTGCTGAGATTACAGGCATGCACGGCAACTTTTTTTTTTTTAATACTAGGAATTGAACCCAGGCCTCATGCATACTAGGCAACCACTCTACCACTGAACTATATACCTAGCCTGCTCAAGTTATCTCGATACTGCCCATCCTTCAAAAACTCTGTTCAATTAAATCAATCCTACAAATACATTCTGAGCTCCTACTGTATCTCTGTGTGGTAAGTTAAAAGATCAGGAAACAAATGAAATAGGTGGAGTTCATCCTTAAAAGAACTCTCAGAAACAGATGTGGTGGTGCATGCCTATAAACCAAGAAAACAAAAACCCAACTCCCAGAAAGGTAAAAAGGGCCACTGTGTTCACTTTTGCAAGGTGGCCCACCCTTATTCTGCAGAGTCTGTTTCTTGTCTTACCTTAGTAAAACTTTCTACCATTGAAAGAAAGAAGAAAGAAGAGGAAAAAAAGAAAAGAAAAGAAAGAAGGAAAGAAAGAAAGGCAGGCAACAATTTTGCCCTGTTGTGTCAGAGCGCTAATGAAGATTTGACAAGTCATCTAATGCAGTTTATAGAGTAGGGAGGTGGGCAGATCCTGCAACCTGGGGGAAGATGAAGACAAAGTTAAGCAAGACTTCGCAGAGGAGGAGAGGACAGCTAGGATGTAGTACAGAATGAAAAATTTGTGATTGCTGGAGTAGGGGGTGGCGACATTATGAAGAATGTCGAGTGCCACGCTAAAGAATTTGCTCTTGATCCTAAAGCTATGGAGAGTTGCTTAATCATTTGTTTGCAACAAGGGAGGATGTGGTCAGAGTGCATTTTAAGAGAGACACTGTGGCCATCACAGGGAGGATAATGGAGAGACAAGAGGTCAAGACCGGTGAAAGAGATTGGCTATAGGAAGCTTTCCTTGGCAACTATATCCAGTATTTCCTTCCTCTTCTCTGCCCCCCGCATCTACACTACCCCATACTTGTGGGACAGATCATCTGTAGAAACAAACCCTCAGCTGGGTTGGGGATGTGTGATACACATGTGTGGATAGGGAGACTGGCTAAAGCTGGAAACTGGTGATGCTGTTGCAGTCACAGGTTCTCTGGAATATGTCCAGACACCAGGCAAAGCCACCAGGAGGGCCTCGACTGGAGCACCAGCTACACGGACAGTGGAAAAATGCCAATTCAACAAACACTGATTGCCTACTGAAAGAGGTGAGAGTAGAGGCTTAAGTGCTTGCTCTACTTCTGTATCTGTAAAAATGGACTCAAATTCACCTCTTTAGATTAATAAAAAGATCAAATAAAAATGTGTACAAGTCTCTGGCACATAAGGCGAGCCCATTTTACTTTTCCTCACAAAAACAAAGTAGGTAAGTATTTTAAACCAAAGAAGCAATTCAGAGACAGTGACACTGAGGTCAGACTGTTCAGAGAAAGGTCAGTAAGGACAAGTTCAAAATGTAGCTCACACGTGTAGTTGTGATAACCGTCATGCGCTGGGTACCTTCCACATGCCTGGCACCCTGCTGTATTTCCTCTAATTGTCACAACAACTCTATGTATGCTGCACATACTCCTAAAGCCACTTTTACAGATGAAGAAATGCAGAATCAGAGGCAAAAGATGAACTGCCCAGATGGCGTCAATCACCAGGAAGTTAAAGGCAAGATGAGAGTATGCCAAGGTTCAGGCATGGGCAATGGCCTAGAGGCAGAGAGAAAGGCTCTGGCCTCAAGGAATAGTACTGAGGGTTGAGGGAACAGACAAGGGATTGAGATAGAAAACAAGGCCAGAAGGAGGCGCCCTGGGACTGAGCTAGACAGAGAGGATGCCATGAAGCCCCAAGGCAGGAAACCCAAATCTAATCGCTGAAATTAGACAAAAGTAGTTCTTATGTGGTTGTATGAATCTGTTTGCCCTGGAGCCCTAAAGAACAGAGTGGGAGAGAATTCAAAGTCAAGAAAAGTTTTTGGTTTTGATACTGGGGATGGAACCCAGGGCATTCACACCCAGGACATAACATCCCCAACCTGTTATTTTTTTAAATTTTGTGTCAGAGTCTCACTAAATCACTAAGTTGCCCAGGCTGGGTTCAGATTTGTGGTCCCACTACCTCAGCCTCCCAGAGCGTGCCACCACGGATTTGAAAAGTAGTTTTTAGAATAGGATACTTTCCCTCCAAACTTGGGTCCCCAAAGAATGAGTCTAATGTATCTCTCTGGGTCCCCCACTGTGGCTCAGCCCAGTGGCTATCATAGAGAGGGTGTAGGCTAGTGATGGCAAACTCTTTAGATCTTTGAGTGGTACAAACATCCCACTGACGCATGAGTGCCAAAGGTTTATCACCACTGGCCCATCTGAGCTCATAACACTGCATATAAAAGAGCTCTGGGCCGGGTATGGTGGTGCATGCCTGTAATGCCAACACTCAAGAGGCTGAGGCAGGAGGATCGCTGCTATGAGTTCGAGGCCAGCCTGAGCTACAAAGTGAGTTCCTGGTGCACGCCTGTAAACCCAGCACTCGGGAGGCTGAGGCAGGAGGATTGCTGCTATGAGTTCGAGGCCAGCCTGGGCTACAAAGTGAGCTCAAGGACAGCCTGAACTGCATAGTGAGACCCTGTCTCAAAAAGACCAAAAAAAAAAAAAAAAAAAAAAAAAAGCTCTTGCAAACTAACAAATTTAAAACTCTTACCCATTCTACAAAGTGGCAATTACAGCTACTTTGTGAGGTCACCCCATATAGCTATAAGAGAATGATTGCAGGTGTCAGCCTTGAATCCCTAGTCTGACATTCAGTAGCGATTCCTTCTCTGTTTTCCATTGGTAAAGCGGGATGCTGATAGTATATACTTCATAAGATTTTTTAAAATGAGGATTAAATGAGAAAACACATAAATAGCAGAACAGTGCCTGGGACATGCCGGCTGCTCAGAATGCATTAACCTTGACACATGAGTGCTCAGAATGTACCCATCTTTTTGAGAGAGATGTGAAAATAACACTGACTAGCTCTGAAGTCTTCTACCCTCTCCGGATTATCTGCAATCCCCCAAAAAGGCCAGCAGGAGGGAGCTTTGGTCCCTCACTCTCACGTGTTAGGGTAAGATGGTCTTTGCAAAGCTGTCAGAATCCCCCTTTATGAGTAGATCAGGGTCAGGGTGGGAAGGCAACCCCTGGGAACGGATTTCTAGGGCTCAGCTCTCACTGTACGGAACCCAAGGCGGGGGGCCTGCGAGCCTCTCTGTGCTTTGTTGCACTGGACGGGCGCCCTCTCCTGCTAAAAGATGGGAACAGCCTGGAGTTTGTCGAGTGGGTCTCGCAGCGTCCCACTACTGGCAAGGGGGCTCTTCCCTTTGCTGAAATGCCCCAATCCTCTCTGCGGTGCAGAGTTTACATGAAGGGCGCTGAGGCTGGGGCAAAGCTGGCTTAATTCTCTAGAGGGCGAGGCTGGATAATTCGGTGCGAATGAGGATACAGGACAGGAGAAACTGGGGTCAGGCAATGGGAGAAATGGGGGTCCCGATGAATCAATTTTGTGTTCTTTCAACGGGTGATGGACCGCAGCAGAGAGAGAAAAGGTGACAGGGTGGCTTATCCAACATGTCAAACCCTGGTGTCCGGGTCTCTTGCGGCTGGCCTCACGTAGCCAGAATGAATGGGGCAGGATAGGGCTGGAGAGACGTGGTTTGAGGAGACGGCAGATTAGAGGGCTCGCCGGGGTCGGGGTCCCCGGTGGGGAGGAGCCAGCAATGGACGAGGGCGCAGTTTCCTCCTTAAGTTCCGCCCCGAGCGCGCCGGCCCCGCCCCGCGCTGTTCCCGCTCGCGTCCGCCCCCCGCCGCTTACCCGGCCGGGCCGGGCACCGCGGGGGACCCCCGGCTCCGATGCGGCCTCCCCACCAGCACCGCTTGGGTGAGTAAGAAGACGAGCGCCGCCGGCAGCCCCACCCCCGGAGCTCGGCGACGCGGTCCGACCTCCACTGGACCGGGCCCAGGCTCTCGGTCTCTGTGGCCTGCCCTCCTCCCGTGCATACTCTGTTTCCTGGAACTGCTTCCTTGCGGACGCACTGAGCTGGCCTCCTTCCTTTCCCTCCGACAGGGGACTAGGTGTGCAGGGATTACACTCTCCCTTCTCTACTCCGCAGGGCCTCCCGGTCAGGATTCACCCCACGTGTGGCGATGAAGGCCAGGGGGAACCTTGGAACCTCATAGATTAGTTTCACATCCCAGCTCTGGCAGTTGTAAGCCCGATATTTTTGAGTAAGTGCTTTTAACCATTTTAAGCCTCAGTTTCCTCTTCTGTGAAATGGCAACATAGACTGTAGGGCCTACTTAATAAGATTATAGCATGGATTAAGAGAGAACGCATAGCTTCTGCCAAGCAGGCTGCCTGCTGTGTAGTAGACAACCCACAAACGTGGTTTCTAATGGGGAGAGCTGGTAAGAAGCTCTCTGGGAACTTTGAAGATGAGGTTGGGATACTCCTAAGAAAGCGATGTTCAGCTGAATGGTACCTAGAAATGAAAGCCGCCTGGGGCTGAACAGGCAGGTAGGGCACTCCCTGTCCTGGGGTGTGGAGAGGCTTTGGAAGTAATCTGAATCTGAGCAGTGTGATCCTCCTGTTGCACAACTGTGGGAGCAGGCCCAGAGTGGATATGTGAGTTGTCTAAAGTCACACAGCTAAAAGAGGGGGCAGGCGTACACATCGAAGAAGTGTAGTAGATTGTCCTTTATGGTTGTTTTTTGTTTGTTTGTTTCTGAGACTGTCACATGAACTACTGCCTCACCTCCCTCCTTGAGATAGGGCCTTTTTTTTTTTCCCCCCCTCTGGGTATCAGGAATCAAACTCAGGACCTTGCGCTAGCCAAGCAGGTGCTGTGCCGCTGAGCTAAATCCCCAACCCCAAGGGCCTTTTTTTTTTTTTTTTTTTTTTTGGTAGTGGGAATCAAACTCAGGACCTTGCACTTGCCAGGCAGGCGCTGTGCCGCTGAACTATATTCCGGCCCCTGATAGTGCCTTTTCATTCCCTGAAGCCCCTGAAGATCCCTGAGGGATATGGAGCAGCTGGTTTACAGGAGAAAAGTTGGAAGCAGGAACTAGATCTACTCCAACTATAGAGTCTGAGTTTGGACTGGCGGGGGAGGTGCTCCTCAGGTAGGGAGAGCCCTAAGGGACTTACAGTCAGTCCATTTAGAGATGATCCAGGAATGTGTTGGGCATCCAAAAATTTCCCGGGGAGACCTCTCACCCCCGACACACACACACCGAAAGGGAGAGCAGAACTTGACGCAGGTTGCCTGATGGGCCCCTGGCAGAGGCTGGCGAGGAAGGTAGATGAAAATGGCAAGGCATAGCCACCCTGCTTGTTCGGGAATGCCAGGACACCACCCAACTGAGGTCAGAGTTCTTGAGGAAGGGACTAGAGAGGAGAATTCTGAGGGTGGGGCCAGAAAGAGTTAGGACTTGATTTGGTAAGGCCGAGGAGACCAGACAAGCAGGTTCTTTATGTATCTGGAGCCAGCCCGATCTTGGTACCCACAAGCCTCTGTGCTTGCCTTTCCCTTTAGACTCAGCTTTGAGGAAGGGCTTTTCTCTCTTTGGATCTTGGTTTCTCTATCTTTACAATGGGAACAGGGTTGATGACTCATGTAGGATTTAGTTTTCTTTTCTTTCTCCTATGGATATGTACCCCTTCTTTCACCCTCTCCCAGTCCTAATCTGATTTAATTGCCCAGAGCTCTGACCCAGAGGGGAAGGGCTCAAGGACCCAGCGCTGCCTTGTGTAACTCTTTCTAGCCCCCATATCTCCCTACTGCTGGCTTTTCTATCTATTTGATACATGGGCCTGAGTAGATTCCTGCCTCAGCTTCTCTTTCTATACATTGAAGGGAGCTGGGTTAAGATTATTGGTGTATAACAGTATAGTTCCTGACCTTAGGCTACCACACATCTGAGAGAGAAATTACTGTCCTCAAGAGCTCTCGCCTAATCTCAGGAGCGGGTGGACACGCCCCTGGGCACAGGGAAGCCTCCAGAAGCTGACCAAGCGGCTCTCTCCTGCAAACAGCAAGGCCAGGCGAGTGCCAGGCCTGATTCTGCAAAGCCTTTCACCCTTTGAGCACATGAGGCAGTAGGGGGTCGAGGTTCTGCCAGCTTCCATGGAGTCCCTGCTGCTGTGGGCTACTGGGCCTGCACACAGAGCTTGGGAAGGGGCTACAGGTGCAAGAGAGTTGAAGCTATGAGAGCTGATGAGAGGTCCTAACCCTGGGGTTTGAGCCTGAGGTTCAGAAGTTTTGGGGAGGTGATGGGCCATCTACTCTCTGGTTGTTTGCTTTTTGTTTGTTTGTTTTGTTTTTTGAGAGAGGGTCTCATGCAGTTCAGACTGGCCTTGAACCCACTATGGAACCCAGGCTGGCCTCGAACTCATGGTGATCCTCCTGCCTCAACCTCCTGAGTGCTGGGATTACAGGCGGCGTGTGCCACCATGCCTGGCCTTTTTTTTTTTTTTTTTTGAGACAGGGTCTCTGGTCTCTGGTATGCCGTTCAGGCTGGCCCTTGAGCTTACTTTGTAGGCCAGGCTGGTCTTGAACTTGCAATGATACTCCTGCCTCAGCCTCCTGAGTGCTGGGATTGCAGGAGTTTGCCACCATGCCCCACTTCCTGGCTTTTTTTGTTTTGGGGTTTTTGTTTTGTTCTTGAAATAATGGGAGATTAGATAAACTAGCACCTGTAGTCCTAGGCCTCACAGGCCAGGCAGAAGTCTGAGGAGAAGGTCCCCAATCTAGATATTCAGGCTTTATCCTAGTACAGATTGGGTTCATTGTCTTCCCTCTAAAATTGCATTTGGGTGTTGTCTTGGAATTCTGAGTCAGTCTTCCTCACCCAGGACAGGTACTGTCCAAGTTTAGGAGGCTTTCTTCTCAGACTCCTCCTGCCATAGCACAGCTAAGTTGAGGACTGAGCTGACCTCACCACTCAGTCCCATCCCTGTTGCCTGGGACCCTGACAGCATGCCCCTCCATCCTCAGGTCTGACAAGATGTACCAGGTCCCACTGCCGCTGGACCGGGATGGGACCCTGGTCCGTCTCCGCTTCACCTTGGTGGCCCTGGTCACGGTCTGCTGTCCACTTGTCGCCTTCCTCTTCTGCATCCTCTGGTCCCTGCTCTTCCACTTCAAGGAGACAACGGCCACACACTGTGGGGTAGGGCTTGGGGGCACTGATACTGCATATTCCAGCCCTTTTTGGATCTGTTTTTGGATCCTACTTCTACTTTAACGGGAGTAGCGAGGTCTCCAGTGGGAACATCAAACACACTGGGCTCTTGGGGGTGCTGGAAAATTGAAGTCTTAAGGATCAGTCTCTTTCCACTTTCTTGAAGGTTCTAGGGGCTGGGGTCACTGAGATTGGGTAGCCCCCAAATTCAGAACCCAATCATTACTTCATGGAAAGCAGATTCAGGAGCCCCAGGGTTTTCTGGAGAGTGAAAAGAAGAGGATCGGCTAGAGGGCATTTTGGGTCCTGCAGCATAGCACTGTGGGCTTGTGCCTGTCACTGTGGGAGTGTGTATGTGTGGTGGGGGATGTGGAGGGAGAGGGAAAGAGAGAGAGGGAAGAGAGGATTGTGGAGCCATGACTGTTCAAAATGGCTCTGAGTGGGGCGTGTGTATGAGAGAAACTATTTGCCTGTTTGTTGGGGGCCTAACTATGTACGTGTGCCTGTGTTCTGGGGTGGGCCTCAGGTTCTGTAGATGGCCACTCACTCTGTGGAGAGGGATATGGGGTACTTGGGCCATAAAGAAAGATGTAAGAATCCTTTCTCTGTAGTGCATTGGAGTAAATGAGATGAGCCCTGTGTTGATTGCTGTTCTATGCCTGATTCATTCACTGGCTCTCTATTACCTGAGACCCAGAAACTGAGTGTTACTCGCCCATGTCATATCTATAGTGAGGTTGAGCTGGCTGTGGTGGCACCTGCCTATAATCCTAGTACTCAGGAGGTCGAGAAAGAAGGATCACAAGTTTAAGCCCAGCCTGGGCAACTTTGTGACTTACAGACCCTGTCACAAAGTGAAAAATAAACATGTTGTGGACAGAGCTCATTGCAAAGGCTCTGGGTTCGTCTTCAGTACTAACAGAAAGAAAAAGAGGGGCTGGGGATTTAGCTCAGCGGCACAGCACCTGCCTGGCAAGCGCGACGTCGTGAGTTTGATTCCCGGTACTGGAAAAAAAAAAAAAAGAAAGATAAAGAAAGTAAGCTTGGTGCTTCCTGCCCAGTTCCTTTCCAGCGCTGACATAGAGCTCCAGGTAGAAGAAGGATGGGAAAGTGGGTTGGGGAGTGTGAAGGGTGAGGAGTGGGACGAGGAAGAGAAGAAATTGTCAAGGTGGAAGGCAGAGGAGGAGATGAAGTTAGCCTGGGGGCTCTATGTCTAAAGGAGGCAGAGCCTGGACAGAGGCCCTTGGGCCCTAGCTTCAGAGAGAGCTCTGAAGGTCTTGTAGCCAACTTCCTGTGTAGGAAGCTCTCCAACTTCCTGTAAAGGGCATCTGCTTCAGGGAAAGGGCTAGGACTCGCAGAGCAGTCCTGCTAGGGGTTTGCGGGGGACGCCCACCTGTGTCGTTCATGTGACTTGAAGTTGCCCCTCCTGACTTGTCCATGGGTAGACATGAGCTTGAGTTATGGGCACCCATCTGATGAGAGCTGGGACTGACTGTCAAAAGGAACAGGACTGGAGGGAAAAGGAGTGAGCAGGTGATCTGAGGGGAAGGGTCACCCTTTCCTGATCTCATGCTTACCTCAGATAATGCAGCAGATATTCCCATTACTCCAGATAACTCCTGCCCATCCCAAGGTATCTCCTCCCCCAAAAAGCTTCCCCTGGCCTTCTTCGGGCAGACTTAACCACTTCCTCCTCTGGGTGCCTTCAGTTCCTTGTGTTATCTGTCTTTCTTTCATTCATGGTATGGGGGCTTGAAGCCAGGGTCTTCACACTGAACTATTATCCCCACGCCCTTTAAAAAAAATTTTTTTTGGGGACAGAGTCTCACTTATCTATCTATCACACATTTCTCTCATATCATACCTGTGCTTGTATCTGTCTTGCCCATCAGACCAGGATCTCCTTGAGGGTAGGCAGTCTGTCTGAGTCAGAAAGTACTTGTTTCCTAATTGGTTTTTTTTTGTACTGGGAATTGAACTCAGGACCTTGCACTTGCCAGGCAGGCGCTTTTGCCACTGAGCTATATCCCCGGCCCAGAAAGTACTTGAATAAAGGGATACTCACCTTCTTCTCCCCCTCCCCCTGTCAACCCCACCCAGAGCCCTAGGGAAAGTAAGGCATAGTATAAGGTAGTTGTAGTCCAAATAAATTGTAATATTTGTATAGCGTAAGCCTAGCCCTGAGGGCTAATGGGATCAATACCCTCAGCATACCTTGTACCTATTACCTACTCTTGGTATACTAACTAGATAACAAAGATAAGGGAATTGGGGGGCGGTGGTACTAGGCCTAGTGACCTTGGGAGTATGCTATCCCTAACCCCTGGAACTCCCCTGTTGGATCCAACTGGAGTTTTTCATACATGCTTTGGATTTCCCATCTAGAATATCTCAGGAATGGCCAACCCTAAGAATGAAAGAAGCGACCCCGTACAGCACATCAATAATTGGTCACTTTGCATCTGCTTGCACATTCCTAGTGACGGGGAGTTTCCTTCCTCTTCGGGTAACCTATTCTTTTTTTTTTTTTTTTGTGGTACTGGGAGTCAAACTCATGACCTCAGGCTTGCCAGGCAAATGCTTAAGCCGCTGAGCTATTACCGCCCCCACCCCGCCGGCCCTCGGGTAACCTATTTTAAGGCAGCTTAATAACTAATACTGAGCAAGCTGTTTCTTGTGGTGAGCACGGACTTTCTTTCTGGTGATCTCTGCTCTGTCTCTGGCTCTGCTTTGATGGCCATGGAGTACTTTCTCATTGGGGCTTTAGGTCAGCCCTGCAGAAACAAGAAGGCAGAGTGGGGATCCCTGAGTCTGTCTTAGGGAGCATACCTCTATTCTCTTCAGGCAACCTTCCCAGAACATGGCCTCCTCCTCACCCTGAGTGTACCCTTGGACTTGACTCCGTTGGTAACTGTTATCTTCTCTATGCCAGACCTTGATCTGGGCATAGGACCTCAGGTGCCCTGGGCAGTACAGACAAAAGCAGGACTGTTCATTCTTAATACTGGCAGTTAGACCTCTGTTGATGTACCTGAACTGCCATTAGCTGCAGGTACAGGCTGGACACTGATACGCAATGTTCAGGCCTTTCTAGATCTCTCTTGGGTCCTGATTCTGTCATCGCAGGATTAGCCAGTTCTCCGTTGGTTTCAAGATATATACCAAGTCCTGCTCCAGTCAGAAAGGGTCAGATCCCATGCTGCTTTCTCCTTTTTCCTTCCTAGAAATCTGCCTGTATTCCTGAACACAACCCTCAGAAAGATCCCCACCCCCACCCCTGGCAAAGAAGCCACAGTGGGCTGACCTCGGCCACTATCTTTTCATACTGTTGCAGAGTGTTCCTGGATTTATGACACGGCTTGTTGATCTTGAGAAGGCTGTGTGCTGGGCAGGCATGGAGAACTGGGCTCTGTGGGTGGGAGGGCAGGAGTTGGGGGTGGGACCCTGCAGGCTTAGAGCAATCTCAGTCTGGCTAGAGCCTTCAACTCAAGCTCCAGATTCTTCAGCATCCAGTGTGAGTGTTATTTAGTGAGACCCCACCCCTGACAAGGAGCTGGACCAGTGGACTGGGGTCTTCATAACGGAGGGAAGTGTGAGTCTTAAGGGGAGATCTAGTTTTGGGCCTTTTAATGTAAAGTCTTATCTGTCTGTCTCAACTTTCCACAGCAGGGAGCCCAGCTTGATCTGTCCTGGTGGTCTGGAGAGTAGGAGTTGTGGGGAGGAAGTTCTTTGCCAGGAGGGAGGAGAGAGTGAAGAAGCCCAGGTTCCTGGGCCTGCGTCTGACCTGGACAGAGGCTTCCTGGGTTGGCCCAGCCAGCTGAGTAGAGAAAGTCCCCAGGACCCTCAGATTCCCCTGAACTTTTCTTGGGTGACATGGTCTATTCAGAGAGGAAGGAGATGGGAGGGAATCTGGGTCTCTGCAGGGTCCTTGATATTTTGGGATCAGGGTCCTGCTGGCCTGAGGCTTAGTTCTTATTCAGACCCAGAGGGGGGATGGCTGGCAGACTGTGGGCCCACTGAAATGGGCTCCAGGACACTCTCACTGTTCCTAGTTGAACTTGGGTGAGGAAGAGGAATGTGGTAGGTCAGGGTCAGTGGGAGGGCTCTAGCCATTTTTATTTAGCCAAGGGTCCTTTGTCCAGGTGATATGGCTTGATTTAGAGTCTTTTTTAAATTACATTTTAATTTTTATAGGTACAGGTTTGCAGAACATAATGATTACATTCCTTGTGGGGAATTGGTTCATGTACATAACACATCTTAATTTTTTTTTTCTAGACTCTTAAGCTATTAGGTGGCAGGAGGCCAGTATTTGATCCTGACATGGTTCGGGGCCTCAGTCTCACTCTCTAGATAGGAGTGATAGCTTGTTCACTTCTGATCCTTCTCCACAGTGGCTGTCAGGATTATAAGAGTGAGGTGAGCTGTCAGAGCTCCTATATCCAGGCCTCCGGGGCCTTCTACCATCCACGTTCTTCCAGAGGTGGACCTAGAGTGTCAGTGTGTCAGGGGATTCCTAAAAGCTATCCTTGCCACTCCAGTTCTGTCTCCCTCTGCTCCTCCTCCTCCTCTGCACTGCCTTCTTCTCCATGTGCCATTTTTAATACGTCTGTTCTTCTTCATGCTCTGAGGAGCCAGCTCTGGTAAAGGCTTCCCTTTCCCAGGCTCAGGTATCCCACCAGGCCCCAAGTTGTGTCCGTTGCCCTGCTTGGGCCATTCCCTACAGGATGTTCTCTGCGGCCTCCCAGTCCTTGGACCCAGATGGGACCGTGTTCCGGCTCCGATTTACAACCATGGTCTGTTGGGTCATCACTTTCCCCTTGTTCGGCTTCTTCTACTGCATCATCTGGTCCCTGGTGTTCCACTTTGAGTACACGGTGGCCACTGACTGTGGGGTGAGTGCCAGGCTTCCCAGCACGTGGGTTAAGGCTGGGTCAGGATATAGTGGTAAGGCAGAAATCAGAGAGTGGGAGAGACCTAGAGGGTGAGAGAAGGAAAAGAGACAAAAGGATGAGAACAGGGCTGAGCTAGGTAGAGTCACAGTCCTTTAAGAGTTGGAAGAGGAGCCAGGCATGGTGGCACATGCCTGTAATCCTAGCACTCTTTTTTTTTTTTTGATACCGGGAATCGAACTCAGGACCTTGCACTTACCAGGCAGGTGCTTATGCCACTGAGATATGTCCCTGGCCTGATCCTAGCACTCTTGAAGCTGAGGGAGGAGGATCACTGTGAGTCTGAGGCCAGCATGGGCTACAAAGTGAGTTCAAAGCTACCCTAAACTGTATAGTGAAACCCTGTCTCAAAAAAAATAATATATATAAAAGACAAACAAAAACAAATGTTGGAAGAGGATTATAGAAAATACAACCAAGATGGACTTGTTTAGTCCTCAATCTTCCCTGAGGATCAGGGGCAGAAGTTCTATGTCCGGCATGTAGCTGAATATGGACTTGCCCTTAGATTTCATTCCTGCAAGAAGCAGTCCTTAGATACGGTCACAACACAGTAAGTTGGGATTCTTGTTGTGATAAAGGTGAACACATAGTGTAGGGCACAGGGGAGGCTCTTAACCCAGTGTGAACTTTAGGGAGGACTTCCTTCTTAGAGGCAGGGGTGTTGTTGCTGGTAGGTGGTGCTGGTGGTAGCGGTGGTGGTGGTAAAGAAAGGTTTTTATGAACATCAGGCTGATTATTTGAATTTTATCCCGGGGGTGAGCGGGTGGGGAGAAAGTTTTGGAAAGATTTCAAGCGGTAAAAGGGCCGTGATCAGATTTGAGCTTTAGAAGATGATTCCAACTCCTGTGTGAAGAACAGACTAAAAGGAAGTTGGTCAAGTAGGGAGACCAGGGGGAGGTTAGTACGTGGCTTATACTACTGGAGACCAGAGCAAAGATGAGTACTGTGGGGACAGCGGATGAAGTCCAGAGGGGAGTAGCAAGTAGAATTGACAGGAACTAGAATTTTTGTGCAATTGGCAAGGGGTGGGGGACAACAAGGAAGATAGAGAAGTCATGTATTTAAAAAAAAAAAAAGAGAGAGAAGTCATGTATAATTTGGGGGGACTTTTTCTGAGGCCAAAGAAATTATCTCTAATGGCAGAATCTGATAGAGGAATTTTTGGAGCTCTCCCTTTATGAGTTTCTCTTTTACTGCCCTGGTAGGAAGGAGTTACCTACCTGGCTGTAGTACTTTTGGCTCTGTGCTCATGGGGAGGTTTGGGGTGAGGCGGTAGCTACCCATGTCACTTGCTGGTAGAGTTGGTAAGTGGGGAACTTATATGCTCAGGATGGGGGTGGAAGGAGCGGGTATATGAATCTGAGAGAGAGAGGGAGAGAGAGAGAGAGAGAGAGTGTGTTACATAGAATCCTACCTTTACTCTTAATCTGAGAGGAATTTGTGAAGACTAGCGATCACAGGGCCTTAATCCACACCCTTCCTACCTCCAACTCCATATTTTATCTATCTAATCATTCGTCAGGGTTCAGTCCCTTCAGTGCTTCAAGCTGTCCAGTTAGGCTTTAGATACTGGTCCTGTTCCACTTAAATTAATTGAGATTAGGGAGTAGTCTTCAGAATCAGGCAATAGAAGCAACACTCTTACTAACCTAACTCAGGGGAAGAGAGGGGCCAACATATCAGTTAAGGAGAGCAGGAGGTCTTACTGTCTCAGGTACTGCCTCTCACGCCTAATTATGCTAGATGGCCCTGTGGTTGGCTCACAGCCTCTTTGCAGGCTTTTCAGGAAAGCACTTACTGTACTCACTGTGTGGGAAATCTTGCAGGTGGCTTTGCATACATTAGAATTCATAATCACTCTACAAGGTAGGTGGTGTTATACACATTACCAGTGTGGAAACTGGAGCTCAGAGAGGTGAAATGCCTTGCCCAAGGTCACATGGCTAATAAAGGGGAGAGCTGGGATACAGACCTAGCTTTGTGAAGGTCCAAAGCTTCACGCTGCCTCTTCACTGATTAGTTAGTAAACATCTGAGCTGATCTGAAGCTATGGTACTTCAAGCCATGGCTTTGAAAGCAGGGTCTTCCCATTGAGAAGTCTGTAGTTTACTTGGAGACTCTGAAGTCCCTTGCTGGCCCTCCGTCAGCCTCACCCCTTCCTTGTAAGTTGCCTACCTTTTCACCACAGGACTCACTTAATATCTTCATTGGAAGAAAAGAAGGGACTTTCCAGAACTCTGTCTCTAAACACTGGTCCCTGTATAGGGCCGGGGATACAGCTCAGTGGAACAAGCGCCTGCCTGGCAAGCGCAAGGTCCTGAGTTTGATTTCCGGTACCAAAAAAAAAAAAGCCTGTATAGTTAGAACAAGGTCATTCTCTTGCTGGGTTCCTGGGCTCTGACACTGCTCTTGCCCTTGTTAAGTGTCTAAAAATGTTCATAGAAAGTATGGACAGTGGACTGGCAGCTTCCAGTTTGGGTATCTTTAAAAAATGCAGATTCTCAGGTTCTAATCCTGTAATTTCACACAACTACCCAGTGAGTTTTATGTGTTATTAAAGTTTGCAAAGTACTGCCGGGTGTGGTGACACACACCTGTAATCCCAGCACTAAGGAGGCTGAGGCAGGAGGAGTGCCATGAGTTCGAGGCTAGCCTGGGCTACATAGCGAGACCCTATCTTTAAAAAAAAAAAAAAACCAATACAATTTGCAAAGTACTGCTGTATACCTGCGAGTTTAAGAGATCTTCCTTCTGCCAGGTGTGGTGGCATGCGTCTGTAATCCCAGCACTTGGGAAGTTGAGGCAGGAGGATCACTGCTCAGGGTAGCCTAGGCTACAAAGAGAGTTCAAGGCCAGCCAGCGAAACCCTGTCTCCAAAAAAAAAACCAAAAACCAAAAAACAAAAAAAGAAAGAGATTCTTTTTCTATTATGGGTTTCCTGTTCCCATCTAAACTATGGTTCAGTCAGTTCTCTTATCTCTCATACTTCTCAACACTACTTCTTATAGCTGTGTAAATACTGTCTCCCCCTTCTTCAGGGTAAAGGAGTAAGGCTGCAGTTTCTTTAGGAACGAGGAGTTCCAGGCACTGAGAAAGATAGAAAGGAGAAATGCATGAGAACAAGGTCATTTTTTCTCAGACCAATTTGGAGGCACCCGCTTTCTTTCTTTCTTTTTTTTTTTTTTTTTTTGGCTTTTTTTCCGGTACCGGGAATCAAACTCACGACCTCATGCTTGCCAGGCAGGCGCTGTGCTGCTCAGCTAAATCCCCAGCCCCCGACACCCACTTTCTTAAACACGAACAGAGTAGTGATTCCTTTCTGGCCTACCTCACAAAACCCTCTACCAGCTTGGCACCCCTGCTCAGACGGATGAGTTTTGTGGAGCTGGGAGCAGGGACAGGAGCAGCTCAGCAGGGTGTCACTTTTTAAAAGGTCAGACTGTCGGTAACTCACCTGTCCTCAGCACTGAATCTGGAGTTCTAGATTACTGAGATTCCTGCAGAGTCCTATCTGAGGCAGAGCTCCGGACTACAGGGATAGGGAGCATCCGAACCTGTCTACATAAAATGCCCAAAAGCGCAGGTTCTACTTTGTGAGGAGACGCAGAAGGCCCGCCCTGCCCCTGCACAGATCCCAGGCCGGCTGGGAAATGAGAACTGCGCGCACTGGGCCCGGAACCTGGAAAGGGAGGGCTCCTGCGAGGGCAGGGGTGGGGGTTGGGGTGGAGTGGAGGGAAGGGGCGGGACCTTCTGAGCGCCTGTGTGACTGACTTGGGGAGGGTCTCCTGGTGGGCGGGGCTGGAAGAGGCCCACGCCCAGACGTAGCCCGACTCTCTAGGTACCCAACTACCTGCCTTCGGTGAGCTCGGCCATTGGTGGGGAGGTGCCCCAGCGTTACGTGTGGCGTTTCTGCATCGGCCTGCACTCGGCGCCCCGCTTCATGGTGGCCTTCGCCTACTGGAACCACTACCTCAGTTGCGCCTCCCCGTGTTCTGGCTACCGCCTGCTCTGCCGCCTCAACTTCAGCCTCAATGTCATCGAGAACCTCGCGCTGCTAGTGCTCACCTATGTCTCCTCCTCCGAGGACTTCAGTGGGTGCCCAGAGGAGGGACGGGTGGAGAAGGGCTGGGGTAGGGGACGGACTGCTCCTTCCTGCACACAGACCTTCCTGCCAGGAGGTAAGGGCGCTTCTGGCTATGCGCACACCATCCTCTCTCCCTCCAGCCGTCCACGAAAATGCATTCATTGTGTTCATCGCGGCATCCCTCAGTCACATGCTCCTCACCTGCATTCTCTGGCGGCTGACCAAGAAGCACACAGTAAGTCAGGAGGTACGGTCTAATCCTAGTGGGCGCCAGGTGCCCCAGAAGAAAATCAAGGACATCTGTCCTCAGGACGTGGGTAACGATGAGGCGGGAACTGGAGGGTTTTTTTGTTTGTTTGTTTTTGTTTTGAGAGAGGATCTTGCTCTGAGATTCAGGCTGGTGTTGAACTTACCACATAACCCCGGCTGCCTCAGCCTCCAGAGCACTGGGATTATAGGCATGCGCCATCACTCCCTGCTGGAACTGAAGTTTTAGTAGAAACCCTGGCAAGGGGTACGGTATTGGGGTTGGGGCTGAGGCTTGGGGTTGAGGGTGGTTGATCTGTCAGAATCTAGCACTGTTTAGGTAATACAGCAGATGACAGTTTAGAGATGGAGGCTCCAGGGCCGGGGATGTAGCTCAGCGGCATAAGCGCTTGCCTGGCAAGTCTGAGGTCATGAGTTCAATTCCCGGTACCAAAAAAGAAAAAAAAGAGATGGAGGCTCCAAAAGGGCAGTTAATGAGTGGTAGCCTCTGGGCTCCAGTAGGTTTAGAGACACTTTGTCAGGGGTCTGGGGTCTACTAATTGCAGTGCCCCATCGGCATCCACACCTTTCCTTGCCCCACAGCACCTGGGGGTGTTCAGCTAGTGGGTGACCATGTAACCTCCATATGCCAAGCTCCTGAAATTGGAGGGCCAGGGGTCTTCCCATTAATAGTTCCCCAAATGCAGGGATGTGACCTGCACATCATTCCTGCTGCCCTGTTGGTGCCACCTTCTCTGATTACTGTGGGAGCCAAGCGAGGGGAAGCACTGTCCTTAGAAGCTTGGGACAAAAGGGGAGGCTGCCCATGCATACTGTACAAGCTCCAGAGTGTTGAGATAGCCCATCCCCTAGGATCGAAAGTCCTACAGCTGGAAACAGCGGCTCTTCATCATCAACTTCGTCGCCTTCTTCTCAGCTCTGGCGGTCTACTTTCGGCACAACATGTATTGTGAGGCTGGAGGTAAGGCCAGGCTAGGACCTGTACAGGGTTATAAGTGACTATGGGGCAGTTGTGATGCTTCTGATAGTGGGCAGTATCTTGGGCATTGGTTGTCGTTGTGTTTCTTCTAATGGGGTAACTAGAGTGACTTAAGGGGCTTGTCAAAGGGGTAACAGGAGGCTCATCATGCCCTGTTCCTTGTGTCCTTACAACAGTTTACACCATCTTTGCCATCCTGGAGTACACCGTTGTCCTAACCAACATGGCGTTCCACATGACAGCCTGGTGGGACTTTGGGAACAAAGAGCTGCTCATATCCTCTCAGCCTGAAGAAAAGCGATTCTAAACCCCTCTGCTGCTGGAAGAGCCCACTGTCCAGACACAAGAAACAGCTCTGGCCTTCCCCATCTTATTTCCTCTCTGGGTCCCTTCAAAAGCTGAGGGAGGAGGAAGGGCAGAAGGGCATAGGAGAAGGCTGACCCTAGCACTGCTGGTTTCTTTTCCTCAGCCCTCTCAAAGGCACAGGGACCGTCAAGAAACACCACCCTTAACTGAGAGGGCCCAAGAAGCCAAGCTGGCAGGAAACCTCCACCACTTGGTGCTAAAAAAGAAAAAAATCCCAAAGTTTATGATCACCATGCAGTTCCTGGCCCTTATACACCGACCTTTCACTGAGGTCGGGGCCCACTGAGCAGTGTCTGTTACCTGAAAACCATGGCTGTCTATCTCTAGGTCACTCACTTGCCAAACGTTTTAGCAATCTACTGTGCACATCCAGGCGTGTGGCCGTAGTCCCGTTGAGATTGCTCAGGTGTCCGAGTCCTGACTTTACTTCTTTCAACTGGTGTATGCTCTAGGGTGTGCAACTTTCACTGTCTGAACCTCAGTGTATCCAACTACATGATGCAGGTGGGTATGCTGATTTCCAAGGGCTCTGCAGTGTGGCTCTCTTCTCTTTTGATGGAGGAGGTGTTCTATACCTGAAGGATGACCATTTCAGAAAGAGCACCATCGTGGCTTGTGTGTGTCCCTTCATTTCTCAGATCACCAGCCTATAGCCCTGGGGTGGAGGGGTCAGAGACCTAGTTCCTTAAGCCTAAAGTGGGTTCCTTGGTATCCCTCCATTTTCCATAGTGCCCTGAAGCCTGAGCTCTTTTGGTTGTACATTTTACTTCAAATAAAAATGAAATTTTGATTTTTGCCAATAATCTGGGTTAGCCTTGCTAGTCTCAGGATTCATATCCTTCTTTGATAGGAACTTAAGTGAGGCATGGGCTCCAGAATTCACACACACACACACACACACACACACACACCTTTTAGGCTCAGCCTTTTGGTGAGCAGGAATGACAGCTGTCTTTGTAACAACTCCAGGCCTGGAAGCCATGATGCCTGGGAGTCCTCAATGGAGAAGCCTGGGTTCCAGCTGCAGCTTATGTCAGGGAAGGCCTGTCCCCGTGGAGATGTAAGGAAACAGCTCTCGGCAGGATGAGAGCACCTGCCTTCAGGCTGATGGCTCTCGACCTCTCCCTTTCTGACCCTTAGCTCAGGAAGATTTTCCTTTGAGTTTGTCATCCTAGTCCACTATAGCATCTGTGGCTATAGAGCTTTGTTAAGGAAATTGGGGGTCAGGAGGGGGGGACACAATAAAGGCTATTGTTTCCTGTCCCCTCTTAAGAGGAAACAAAAGGCTCCCAGTCTCTGGGGAGCCCTAGTCCATGCCCACCCCCTAATGCCCAGCACACAGGGAGGAGCCAGCGCCACTGGAGACAGGAGGTTTTATTGATGCTGATGGGGGGCTGGAAAGGCCCCCAGGAGCATGGGGGCTGAGTCAGTCAGTGGATGCATAAGGCCTGGGCACATGGGGACAGATTAGGGTGCACTTATCTTCTCAGGATTCTGTGGCTCCTTCCTTGGGGAAGGGAGAGAGCATCTTGGGGGGGCAATTCCAAGAGCAGCGAGGGAGGTTAGAGACAGCCGAGAGCCCTTAACCTGTGAGGAGGCACCACGATAGGCAGCAACTTTTTGGAAAGCTGGATGAATTGGTCAGTAGCAGAAAACGGGGGTAGGGCATTGAGTTGGCCTCTTGGGGAGGGTCAACCTTGGCCTGGTGAGCTCATGAGAATACCTGGTTTTCCCAAGCAGAGTGTGGTGGGGCCCAAAGCCCCTCTTCCCTGTGGGCCTCCTTAAAGAGAAAAAGGCATTCAGGGAGCCCCCTGGCAAGGGATGCCAGAATTAGTCCTTAAGGCACAGCTGGGGGCAGACAAGGCGCCAAGGCACAACTGGTGGGGGGAGGGAAGGGGCAGCTTCCAAGCCGAGTGCCAGGGTCACAAGAGGACACAGGACCGCCCACGCTTGATCGGTGTGGGGTTGAGCACTGCCCGGACAGCCTCAGCAAACACTTCCTTCACGCCATCCTGCTGTAGGGCCGAGCACTCGAGGTAGCGCACAGCGTGGATCTGCTTGGCCAGTGCCTGGCCCTGCTGTGGTGTGATGGGTGCCTGGCCCTGCTCCTTGAGGCGCCGCAGGGTGTCAGGCTGGGCTCTCAGGTCCTTCTTGGTGCCCACCAGAAGGATGGGCACATCCGGGCAGTGGTGGCACACCTCTGGATGCCACTTGTGCCTCACATTCTCATAGGAGGGTGGACTGGCAATGGAGAAACAGATGACAAAGACGTTGGTCTGAGGGTAGGAGAGTGTGCGGAGGCGGTCATACTCCTCCTGGCCCGCAGTGTCCCACAGGTTCAGATTCACCGTGCGCCCGTCAACTGCGCTCTGGGCGCTGTAATTGTCGAACACCGTGGGGATGTACTCCTTGGGGAAGGCGTTGGTGGTGTAGCAGATGAGCAGACACGTCTTGCCCACAGCCCCATCACCCACCACTACACACTTGATACTCTGCATTGTGGGTGAAGCTGCTGCTGGGGAGGCAGTGCCTCCTCCCTCGTCTGGGCCCTCTGGATGCAATGACCTGTGCAGAGAGAAGGGGACACTCATGGTTAGGGAGTCCTCTACCTACTGGGAAGAGCGGGTGGGAGGAATACACAGGGAGAAATGTGCTCCTGGTGCATGAACTGACATTATGCCAAATTCCATTACAACAGACACCAGAGACAGATACACAATGAAAAGTTATCAAGCAACATGTTATAATGATGCAGTATAGGTGGTCAGGGGACCCAGAAACTCTGATGCCAGATTAACTAAAGTCAAATCCTGATTCTGCTGTTTCCTAGCTATGACCCTGAACAAATCACCTCTCTATGCCCCAATTTTCTTACCTTTAAGGCAGGGACACAGTAATGCTTCATTTGGTTATTAATAGACTCACATAGGTCAATGCATATAAAACATTTTGTACCTGGTCAATAAATATTAGCTATTTTTATTTTTCCATAAGCAGAGACAGAAGACACAGAAAGAAGGTGTTCAAGTGCAGGGATCTATTATATCCTTTACCCTAGATCTTTTACTATCCTCCCATCAGCTTGATTGCTCACCATTAGTTCAAAAGCTTCAAAAATCAAAGACAAGCTGTGTGTAGTGGTGTGTACCTGTAATACTAGCACTTGGGAGACAGGCAAAAGGATCACCTTGAGTTCAAGGCCAGTCTGAACTACAAAATGAGACCCTATTTAAAAAGCAGAGCAAAACAAATCAAAGACTGTGTTGGGGGATCCCCTGCTGGGAAATGGAAAGGAACTTTGGTGGTGTGGGGACTGTAAAGGACCCAGGGTTTGGTCCCTGCTCTTTCCCATAGCTTCCCCTGGAACCAGCTTCCTCTATGTGGTTGCCTTTCTGGTTCACAGTAACAATATTTCCATCTTATTTGCATGAATAAGTGTGTACGTGTTCAACCTCAGGACATTCAAGTTACAGACTCTTCAGAGAGTGTTGAGGGAAGGAAATAAGGACCCCTAACATGGTAGAGAACCTCAGGGCAGAAGTCCAGAGACTTTAAGTTCTATCCCAGCTCTGCTGACATGGCAACCAAGTACGAGGTACTAACTCTCTCTGGGTCTCAATTTCCCTTTCCAGAAAATGGAGTTTAAAAATGCCTATGACAAAGACACTAGGGAAATAAAGTAAGACTTAAAGAGCCCCGGGGGCAGGTGCCATTACTTGTGATTATCTCAGAGGCCCTAGCATCTCACAGCACAACTCCAGCGCCTGCAATCTTCAGTTCCACACAAAGCAGGGAAGCTGGTGTGGCAGTGAGAAGTCTCCCCCCAATCTCAGCAATGGGCTGGCCCAGGCAGGAAGGCCAGAGCGGAACTGTGGGCAGCAGTCACAAGGCCCAAGAGACTGAAAACACAACTGATTCTCTAGGGAGGTAGTTATCAACCAGCAATCAGTAAGTCAGCCCTCAAAGCAGAGGGGAGGGAAAGCTTCCGGGCTGACGGGGGAACAGTGGCTGACACTGAAAAAAATTATGAATGAGGCAGTATCCAAAGCAAGGTATGGTGCCAGGCGTGTCGTGCACGTCTGTAATCCCAGCACTTGGGAGGCTGAGACAGGAGGGCTACCACCAAGTCTGAGGCAACCTGGGCTACATAGTGAATTCAAGGCCCACCTGAATTACATATAGGACCTTGTCTCAAAAATCAATCATCAATCGATCAATCCATCTCTTATATGGTACAAGACTTTATAGATTCCATAGTATAGTGTCATTTGATCCCTATAACAATGTACTAGTATTGGCTGGGTGTGGTGGCGCATGCCTGTAATCCCAGCACTCAGGAGGCTGAGGCAGGAGGATTGTTGTGAGTTCGAGTCCAGCCTGGGCTACAAAGTGAGCTCAAGGCCAGCCTGAACTGCATTGCCAGACCCTGTCTCAAAAAGACCGAAAAACCAAACCAAACCTAAACAAAACAAAAAACAATGTACTAGTATTATTTCTATTTCACAACTGAGGAAACGAACTCAGAGTGGTTACAGTGTCCCAGTGTTAGCTAGTTAGCACAGGAGCCAGGACACAAACCCAGTTTTGTCATCCAGAGTCCCAGGTTTTCCTCAGTGCATCCTCACACAGCCTTGAAGCCACACTTTACCAGCTGTGTGACCTGAGGAGTGCGTTACCTCCCCTCCTAAAGCCTCAGTTTCTCCATCTGTACAGGAGTGACACTGTAATATCACAGGCCTGCATCTGGGATCATATGCGTAAGAATGAATATGCTTCGTAAGCTGTGATGTACCCTGCACAGAGAAAGTTACAGGAGCAGAGCCCTTTGTCCCGAGAGGTAGAAGAAGTGCTGAATACGCCTGAGTGGTGGCATCCATCCAGTTTTCTTTATTCAGGTCTAGTCCAGAACCTCATCCTTTCTCCCAAGACAACTCTTTTCTCTGAAATCCTTTTGGCCAGAATTGAGTAGAATAGGTTCCCTTTGCCCAGTAAAGGAGTGCATGGGCTAAAATGTAGGGTCTGATGTGTGCCCAATAGGAAGAAGAGATGTTAATACAACAGAATGTTAAATTAGGAGCAGCCTGCCTGAGTTTGGGTTTGACTACGACTATTTACCAAGTGGCTTAAAAAAAAAAAAAAAAAGAATCTTTGGTTAGTAAATAATCTGATGTTTGCAGATCTGTATGGTATCAACCAAACTACAATGATCTGTTCTGGCTTTTTATTCCCATTTTAATTCAGACTATGCCCGGGCCCTCATTTTGGCGTTCCAAGTTCTTCATCATCTGAGAGAGCTGCCATCATAAAGACCTGGATTTAAATCCTAATTCTACCACTTATTCACTGAGTGACCCTGGATTTACAACTACTTGCCTTTCCAAGCTTCAATTTTCTTATCTTTCCTTATCTTTCAGATGCAGCAGCAATAGTACCTACCTTATAGAGTTGCTGTATGGATTAAGTGCATTAATATATAACATATGTGCACAGTGTAGGTAGTTCTCAGCTACTGGCTCCAGAGGGGTCTCAATGTCCTCTATAAACTGGCCAGGATTTTTGCCCTGAAACTTCTACTCATTTTTTTTTCTCTGTTTCCATTCCCTCTCCCCTCTCAAGCCTTTTCCTGACTCCTCAAGGTTTGGCTTAAGTCTCACTACCCAATGAGACTACTGAATTCTCTGAATTTCCATAGCATAACCACCCCTTTTAACCCTAGTTTGGGTCAGTGTGATTCTTCTTCTCTAATCGTCATAAATAAGTTACCCAGCTGTGGATGTCTCTCCAGTGCTAAAGGCTGAACTCTCAATGCAACTGCAGAAAATCTGTGTGTATAGGGCTGAACACACAGCAGTGCAGAACCACTGTTGCCGCCTTCTTTTTTTTTAATTGTAGAGAGAAAAAATTTTTAAAAAATTAGAAATGATGCAGAATTTCAAAAAACAAGATGATAGGAATTCAATAATGGTTGTTATATTGTATACTGTTGTCTTCAAAGTAGTTGTTCAAGCCAGGCATGGTGGCACACGCCTGTAATCCCAGCACTGGGAGGCTGAGGCAGGAGGAGCACTGTGAGTTCAAGACCAGCCTAGCTACAAAGTGAGCTCAAGGACAGCCTGAACTGCATAGCGAGACCCTGTCTCAAAAAGACCAGAAAAAAAAAAAAAAAAAAAAAAAAAAAAAAGTAGTTGTTCAGATTACCAGATATAAGCATGTAAAATTGGTCAAAAAATTTTTAAGCATTAACTATTCCTTTCAATAAACCAATAGATATTAGTAGTACAATTATCTTAGCTATCTTGTGTGTGTATATATATATATTTTTTCCCTTCTTTTTTTTTTCCTTTTCCCTCATCCCATTTGTTCTTTCCTTTTGAGCAGTTTCTTTTCCTTTCACAATATATTGTGCCTTTTGGATTTTATTTACTTTTTCAGAGAACCACAGCCTTCTGATCTGCTTACACCAGCCCTTATGGACAGAACCCTCTGGAGTTCAGGACTGCACCTCTTACCCACCCAGCACTGCAGTGCTAAATCTTAACAGTGCCATAACAGCCAAAAGCCAAGTTTAAGTAGGCAAAATCTTCTCTTTATAGTATTAGCTTGAAGTGGCTCCGGCAGGGAGTCCGCTGGGAACACAGCTAATGAGGGGCCCACCCTATCTGAGTGTGGGCCCTGTCTCGGGGTGTGGTCCAGGCAGGCCCAGAAGCGGGAGGAAAAGGAAGCACTGATGTTTGCCTGATTGCCAGATCTCTGCGGCCGTTAGAGCAGGGGAAGTGTCCCAACTGGGAGTGGGGGAGGGGAGGAATGGGCTCTAAGAGATGGGTGAGCGTGGAGGCAATGGGAACGCCTACAGATTTCTAACGTGCCTCCCTGGCATGGCGCTCCCCTTTGCAGTCCTCCCTAACTAGAGCATCTCTGGCCTTTCAAATCTTAGCTCTGGCCAAAACACTCTGATCCTCTACCAATGTAGCAGCCTTTATATTTTCTTCCCCAAAACACAAGTAGCAGTACTCACAGAGCCAAGAGCCATGGCCACCTCCTCCAGGCAATACTCATAAATCACCCAAGTCCCAAGTGGACTTATCCTGTCCAAAGTCTAGTCCCTGTCTCTCTCACACACATACTCTTGCATCACATGGAAGCTGATCTGAATCTTATCTTGTAGAGGGTAAGGTCCTGGCTGATTTCTCTTTCCAGAGGCCCACGGTTGCTGTCAGTAAATAACTGAATGAGCTCAGTATGTCGTTCATGGCTCTGCACTCGGGAGTTTCTCTCCCTGAAGTTCTGCTCAACCTCTTCAGATTCTTCCCGTCCTTCAAGGTCCACTTTCCTTCTCCAGCTTTTCTAGGACATTATAGCAACCTCTTCTCCTGCCTCACCTTTCCCAGCACTGGCTGACTGCTCTGTTCATTGTGTGAAACAACCTGGATGTTTCATAGGGAGGGAAGTCTGTCCTACTTATCTGTACAAGGCCAGCAGAGGGCCGAGCAAGATCTGTAGACTGACACACACCTCCTGCCCCATCAATCCACAGACGCTGGTTCTGGGCACAAGGAAAGCCTCTATGTCCAGGAGACACAGGACTAAGGTAGCCAACTTCCTTCTCACCCCAAGGAGCACAAAGTGAGGGTAATGCACACAAGCCATATTACTACTTGTCCTCAACTGCAAGAGCGAGGGGCAAAGCAGGGAGAGCCAGCACAGAGGGAAGAGGAAGATGGGTAGAAAAAAGTGGTCCTGGTAGATTAGGGATCCGTTTGGGATATCTGAAGGTCCTTAATCAAAGACAGGCAAGGGGCAGGGGCACGGATGGAAAGGCTTTGCACATTTGTTTGTTTGTTTGTTTTGAAGGGAGGAGAGGCGAAGGGTGACACCAGGAGGCTCACAGGGCCTGCAGCTGGCTGCAGCTGGCTGGGAGGAGGAAGCTGGGGGACACATGAGGTCACTATGGGGCTGGGACCAGGCCAATGGCTGAGTGTCTCTTCCCCTTCTCCCTATAAGCTGGGAAGAACTCAAGAGACTCTAGCTCTTATCCTTCAATCTTAAAAATTTACGCTGGAGGACCCTCCACTTTTTAATTTTTTTTTTTTTTTTTTTGTACTAGGGGTCAAACCCAGTGATGTTCTACCACTGAGTTATACCCCTAGTCCTTTTTATTTTACTGTTTTGAGACAAAATCTTGCTAAATTGCCCAGGCAGGATTGAAACTTGCAATCCTCAGCCTCCCTTGGTGCTGGGATTACAGGTATGCTGCCAACTGCTCACTTCCGGCCATTCTCCATCCTCCATCCTCCAGGCCGGAGAGAACCCTGAACTGCATTCAGTGTGATAAAAGGTGAGAGGTGATGTCACTGACTAGGGGCTGGAGAGGAGGAGGAACAAGCCAGCTACAGCTGGGGAGGCTGCAGGAGTTTGGGACCCTTTCACTAAGTCTGAGTTTTCTCCTTTCTCTGGCCACCCAACACCAGGGTGTTCCATAGAGGGTAAGTGAGCCCCAGAGCCAGGACAGCTGTGGCTGGGGGAGCCAAGGAGGCTGCCCCCTCCCCCACTGAGCAGCACAGAGGAAGGCTTACGTTCTGGCTTCCTCCTCCCGCTTAGCAGCTGCCCAGTAGTCCCTGGGCCCCACGAAACGTCTGTGAAGTGGCACTTCCTTTGCCTTTGTTCATTTCACACAAGGTTCTACAGAAGTACCATCCTCCCAGTTCTGCCTCACTCACCTGAAAATACCCATAGAATAACCCAGGGCTGCCCAGACCCTTTAGCCCCGCCCAAGGTCTAAGGGGGTTTCCACCAGGGAAAATAACATCAGGAGGAAACTCCGGCATCTATTTTCCATTGCCAGGGGGGCACAGCTGGAGTAGGGGATAGGGTGGGTACTCCCCAATCTTGCTGCCCCTGGCAAAATCCCCCAACACTCTCTCTGCCTTCTTATCACTCAACCCATAACAATCCTCGTGATTTGGGGGAAGGGCCACAGCCCTGCCCCTGAACAGATACTCAGAGGTACTTGGGTCTGTCAAATCAAGTCTGGGGAGACAGGAGGGTAAAGAGTAGAGGGCATTGCTATGAGGAGTCTCTTGCGGGAGGGACAGTCCAGGCTATCAATGTTCACTGTGCCCTCTGGAAGCACTGATAATGTAATTCCCTAATGTGAAACAGCCAAGAGAAACTAAGACGATCAGGGTTACACAAGAGAGTTAGTTACAAATCCAGGACAAGGACCTGGGTCCATTTTTCTTATTTTATTCTGGATGGCCCTGCCATCATTGATCTCTTCAGGAAATGGGCCAAAGGGGCCAGGCTGACATATATCTGAGCCATTTTGGCCTCTAAATTCCCAGGTCCCCATGCCTAGCCCAACTTTCGCTGTTCACAATTTAGCACTAACATTATTGAACAGCTAGCCAGTGTGGCCCTGCCCAAGGTGAGAAGCTCCTCCTCTGGTCTTCAGCTCCTGGGAAGATGCCCTCCCCCCATATGAAGTGAGGACAAAAGAGGAAGCTGGACCCTGGACAGGAAAACCAGTCTAATCTGGGGAGGTGGCCCAGGCTTTGTCTTTGGTTTCCCTTCATAGCTCTTCTCACGGACCCCTACAAACTTTACTTCGAATGGGTCTACATTGTATGTGGAAGGTGGGGTCTTGTGTGAGCCTGGGTGCCTTTCTTATTCCCAGCTCCAACTACCACCATCATAGTATCTTTCCAGCTGTCCCACTGTAACCACAACCTCTCATATCTTTCTGCTCATAACCCCCTAAAAACTCCCACCAGCTTCCTCATCTGGGCTAAATCTTACTGGAAATAAGTCCCAAATCCCAGATTCCCAACCAGGACCTGGGACAACGTCACACCATCAGTTCTTTTCATGTGCCAACTCCAACCATAGTTCTTTAGCCAAGAGCTCAAGAGCAGCGTCCTAAGCTAGGCGCTCTCCCCCTCCAAGGTATTTTCCCATTTAGATCCTTCTTATATTTTTCCAGCACTGACTTTCTTGCAATTAGCTCAAACTTTCAACCTTTCTTTACCCTCTGAGCCCTGTGGGTTATATAAAATACTAAAATAAGTACTGGGAATCAGGACTCCTGGGGATTTATATTGAGCTGTGATGCTGGGAAAGTGCCTATATGCACATCCTTCCTTGTGCTGGGATTTTCTTCGGATCCCTGAATTTCCTCCTGGGGCAAACTTCTGTACCTCCCAGAAATCACAGACAGTAGGAGAGACAGGTGGGCAGAAGGGTAGGACGGGAAGAAGGGACAATTTGTGGGAGGGAGGGACAGCTGAGAAAGGAAGACAGGATGGGAATGGCTCTGAAATTTATCTGCGCTTGAGCGGTCCCCAAAAGGCAGCACTTGCTCCCCTTTATTTCTTTTTTTCCTAGTGGAGAGAAATGCATGCAGAAGACTGGCAGAGAGTGAAGAGAAATAAGATCCTTCAGTACATTAGCCCGAAGGCTTGAGGAAGGAGCTCAAGAATGGAGACAGTTTACAGAGTTAAGATAAACTAAATAGGTCCTGGGAGAAACTCCTGAGAGGGAATAAGGCCTGGGGTGAGAGGGCAACGCCTGAAGGCAGAAAGGTCGGCAGAACTCCAGAGGGCTCCTTGATCACCCAGGCCCTGGTGCAGAGCAGGATACATGGCTCCCCAAGCTGGCCAGGCTCCAGAAAACAATAGGAAGGATGGGCACATACCTCTGCTAACATCCTTCTCCTGTTAAAACAGCTACGACTGAAATTAGACCAGCTGTGGTCCCTCCTCCGGGATCCTGTCTCTGCCCCCTCCCTCTCCTATCCCCACACCGGGTGGCCCATCCCACTCTCCTCACCAGGCGGTGTCACAGCCAGTCGGTAAGGTACCGGAGTCAGGAATCTTCAGGCTATCTATCCCCCATGGCCTCTTGCTGGCGCAAACAAGAGTTGGGGCAACTTTCATTCCCCACGGCCTCTCTCACCCATTTTATTCCTGTGTCAACCTACCCCGACTGCTACAGACTGCTTCCTCCCGCCTAACCACAATGTCACCCACTGCAGGTTCCCTTCATTCTGCTAGCTTCTGTCCCGGGCCTTCTCACGGCTGGTGGCAGTTTTGTCTCCAAAAGATAAAGAAATATACACGTAGACATTTGAACGTGTGAATGTCAGCGCGCGCGCGAGCACACACACAAAAATATTTCTAGCCCTTTAATCATCTCTATCACCGGGAGGTTGCAGCCTGCTTCTCCAAAGCTAGGGAAACAGTATCTTCAAAATAAGGCTTTCAAACTCAAGTCGTGTACGGTAGTTCCTGGCCCCAAAGTTGAATGAGTGGCCGAAAGGGAAGGAGCCAGGTCCCCCTGGTCGAGGCATTCGGAGGAGCGAGGGGCGAAGGAAGAAGAAGGTATGTGTGTGGCGGCAAGAAGGTGGGAAGAGAAGGCTGCAGGGAACTCAGAGGAACAGAGGCAAGGGTTACATATGAGGTCAGGGCCTAGGTATGTCTGTGCGTTTGAGGGAAAAGGCTGAAGGGGAACGAGAGTCTTAGACACTAAAGGAGGGTGGGGCGTATAAGAGCATATGTGGAATCCACAGACGACGAATGAAGGGGAAGACCTGGAGATGGCCCCCAATCACGGAAGCCAGAGGCACTGCTGCATCCCTAAAACCCTACCAGTACCTCTGAGTGAATCGAGTCACAAGGCAAATCTAGGTCTTTTCCTTCCTCAGTTTAACCCCAAAAGAGCAAGACCAGGTTCAGATTAATTAAGCACAGCAGATGTTTGCTCACTAAATACCTGTTACTTGGCTCCTGGGATGGACAGGTCGGGACTCAGAAATAAAGAGAAAAACAGTGGGTACAGGGGCTCCCTGTGGGCTCTGAGCGCAGGGGCCCCTTGGGCTGTGGCCCGAGAGTGCGGGTGTGGACTGGCACCGACCTTCCCGCGAGACACTCTTTCTCGGCAGTCTCGGGTTCCAGAGGCCCCAGACACCGCCCCCCTCTCAGCCTCACAAATGTCACAACTGCCGAAGCAAAGAGAGCGCCTTCTGCAGCCCAGAGCCGCCCTCCCCCAGTACGCCTCCCCGCAACTTCTGGGGACGCCCCACTTCTGGGTCCCATCTCCCAGCCCGCTGAGTTCTCACTTCACAAACCTCTCTCGTTGCTCAAAACCTTCGGACCGCGAGGGTCCCTCCCGGCTTCCAGGAGGCGGCACAGTCGCTCGGAATCCACCCTCCCCGAGCGCCACCGGCTCGCAGTGGCCCGGTCCTCGCCCCGCCCGGCCGGCCGCGCCCGCCCAACTTGGAGCGAGCCGGGAGCCTCCGCCCGCGGCCTCCTGCAAGCAAACTTCCCCTGCCGGCGCCCGCACCGCTCCCAGGTCGGCCAGGGTCCCCTCCCCATCCCCAGGACCCCTGCTCGCCAGCCCGGCCCCGGGCCGGCCTCACCTGGCGCCCTCCCCGCGGCGGGGGAGCTGGGGGCGGCTGCAGCGGCTCCGGGCTCTAGAAGGAAGTGAGAGCGGGCGGCCGGAGGAAGTTGGGGGGGCGGGTCGGTGGG